AAAGTGCATCTATCATCATAAAAGTGCATCTATCATCATAAAAGTGCATCTATCATCATAAAAGTGCATCTGTCCATCATAATAGTTCATCTATTCATCATAAAAGTGCATCTGTCCATCATAAAAGTGCATCTATCATCATAAAAGTGCATCTATCATCATAAAAGTGCATCTGTCCATCATAATAGTTCATCTATTCATCATAAAAGTGCATCTGTCCATCATAAAAGTCCATCATCCATCATAAAAGTGCATCTGTCCATCATAAAAGTGCATCTGTCCATCATAAAAGTGAATCTATCCATCATAATAGTTCATCTATTCATCATAAAAGTGCATCTGTCCATCATAAAAGTCCATCATCCATCATAAAAGTGCATCTGTCCATCATAATAGTTCATCTATTCATCATAAAAGTGCATCTATCCATCATAAAAGTGCATCTGTCCATCATAATAGTTCATCTATTCATCATAAAAGTGCATCTGTCCATCATAAAAGTCCATCATCCATCATAAAAGTGCATCTGTCCATCATAAAAGTGCATCTATCCATCATAAAAGAACATCTATCATCATAAAAGTGCATCTATCCATCATAAGTACGTCCACATCAGCACATTTTTTAGCATCTTACTGTAGTTGCAAAATATAATATCTCACTCCGATAAGAGAATAAAACTGTTAACTAAACTCAGAGATTGCTTGGAGGGAATTTGTTTGATCTGTGAATGTTGTGATCAGGCACTCGTCAGCGCCCCCTGTGGCAGTGGGAGGCATTACACATCAGAAATCTTTTCGTCTCTGTGTTTTAGGAGGCCGCTTCGACATGTCTTTCCTTCTGCAGCCGTTCTTCCTGTCGTTCTTCTCTCTCTCGCTTTGTTCGTGTCTCCCACTCACTGCAAAATTTAAATTCTTCTCACACTGCAGGATGAATAAACCTACTGTTACACAGCCAAACTCTCTCTCTCTCTGCCTCTCTACATGTGTCCATCTGTATTTGTTTCGCTTGTATATCTTGCTTTTCACTCGTTCTAATTCATCTTTTCTTCCTCGCCCTGGTTTATATGTACACTTTCATCTTTGAGCGAGTTCAGCACTAACAGCTCAAACTGTGTGTTTGTTCATCCCTAAATGTGATACTGGATGGAATGTGTCTGAATTTACTGGGATGTGTTTAGTAATAAACTGTTCCTACACACACACACACACACACACACATTCAGTGACCCGTGGAGGAGGTGCGTCAGGTTAAGCTGACTTCAGACCGTTTGCTCTCTGTGATGGATAGAGGTCGAACTCACTGACTTATTAAGGGCAGAATTTGACTGAATCTCTTTCTGCATGGACACACACACACACACACACACACACACTCACTCACTCGCACTCACTCACTCAGACTCACTCACTCAGACTCACTCAGACTCATTCACACACACTCACTCAGACTCTCTCATTCACACACACTCACTCAGACTCACTCATTCACACACACTCACTCAGACTCATTCACACACACTCACTCAGACTCACTCATTCACACACACTCACTCAGACTCACTCATTCACACACACTCACTCAGACTCACTCAGACTCATTCACACACACTCACTCAGACTCACTCATTCACACACACTCACTCAGACTCATTCACACTCACTCACTCAGACTCTCTCATTCACACACACTCACTCAGACTCACTCATTCACACACACTCACTCAGACTCACTCAGACTCATTCACACACACTCACTCAGACTCACTCATTCACACACACTCACTCAGACTCACTCATTCACACACACTCACTCAGACTCACTCATTCACACACACTCACTCAGACTCACTCATTCACACACACTCACTCAGACTCACTCATTCACACACCCACTCACACACTCACTCACTCATTCACACTCAGACTCACTCACTCAGACTCTCACTCACTCACACACTCACTCACTCAGACTCACTCACTCAGACTCTCACTCACTCACACACTCACTCACTCAGACTCACTCACTCAGACTCACTCACTCAGACTCTCACTCACTCACACACTCACTCACTCAGACTCACTCACTCAGACTCACTCACTCAGACTCTCACTCACTCACACACTCACTCACTCAGACTCACTCACTCAGACTCTCACTCACTCACACACTCACTCACTCAGACTCACTCACTCAGACTCACTCACTCACACACTCACTCACTCAGACTCACTCACTCAGACTCACTCACTCAGACTCTCACTCACTCACACACTCACTCACTCAGACTCACTCACTCAGACTCTCACTCACTCACACACTCACTCACTCAGACTCACTCACTCAGACTCACTCACTCACTCCAAACACTCACTCACTCAGACTCACTCACTCACTCAGACTCAAACTCACACACCCACTCACACACTCACTCATTCACACTCAGACTCACTCACTCACTCACTCACTCAGACTCACTCACTCACTCACTCACACTCACTCACTCAGACTCACTCACTCACACACACTCACTCAGACTCTCACACACACACTCACTCACTCATTCACACTCAGACTCACTCACTCAGACTCACTCACTCACCCACCCAGATACTCACTCACTCACTTACACTCACTCGCTCACTCACTCACACTAACTCACTCATTCACCCACATACTCCCTCACTTAAACTCACTCATTCACCCACATACTCATTCACTCACTCACTTACACTCGCTCACTCACACTCACTCACTCACTCAGACTCGCTCACTCACTCATTCACAATACACAATAGAATGTAATAAAGTGCTGTCTCTCTCTCTCTCTCTCTCTCTCTCTCTCTCTCTCTCTCTCTCTCTGTCTGATCTCTAACAAGAGTGTTTTCAGAAGTTGCTACTTTAAATGTTGTTCTTGTGTTTTGGTTAAAAACACTGTTCCTCGGGGTCAGTCGGGTCGGGGTCACGAGTCTGGTTCGTCCGGCTGCATTTAGAGCGCATAACTGCACGCACACACACACACACACGATAATCATAGCTTTCCCCTTCTCTGGGCTTTGTTGTTGCTGCATGTTTGTATGGTTTATTGTGTCTGTTTTTAGGTCCACGTCTTTATAACTCATTTTTCCTTCATGCTTTTGAAGATTTTTTTTTAGTTTTCAATCTTGATGTGGGTCATGTGACCTTGTTGTGAACACTTTATAAACCAACAGAAACTCTATTGAACTCTTTTGACTCTCTGTCTTCACTGTAATAAACAGCCTAGACTGATAAACTACATTTTAATATAATTATTATTTAGTATGGGTTCGAGTGTCACTTCAAGGACAAGTGCGTGTCCGTCTCCTGTTTGCCCATCAGTGTGTGTGTATGAGGGTGATGTAACGCTCTAGAAACTCCTAGGAATGGATAAATAAATATAATCTAATATATATATATACATATGCATGCTCTCATTTAGATAAAAATGTGTATGTACATTACTATTAAAACATTTTAAGAAAAATTCAGCTTTGATCACATGAATAAATTACACTTTACTATATATTCACATAGAAAACAGTTATTTTAAGTTGAGATAATATTTCACTGTTTTTACAGTATTTTTGGTCAAATAAACACAGCCTTGGTGAGGGGAAGAGACTCTCCTAAAAACATCTAATTAACCCCTTGACCTGTGTCTGACCTGGGTCAGTCAGTCCTCCATTGATTGACCAGTCGTAATGTGCCGGTCGATCATAACCCAGAAACTCCCGATCCTCCAAACATTAGATTCCACCTTTTCAGCAGAGATTCTGGGAAACACTTCCTGTGTCCTGTGTGGAATGCTGACAGAGCAACACACACACACACACACACATTGTTTGTGTAATAGGCCGCAGGGTTGGTGAGTTTATCAGGTGTCATTAAAACACCTGAACTGAAACAAAGAGGTGAAATTTGTGTGGAAATGTTGGGAAGTTGTGTTTCTAGCAGATACGAGTGTGTGTGTGTGTGTGTGTGTGTGTGTGTGTGTGTGTGTGTGTGTGTGTGTGTCGGGCAAAAAGAAACCTGTTTCTGAAGAAGACTAATATGATAACTGCCCTTTGACCTTTGGCCTTTTGGGTGTGTGTGGAAATTGAGCTCTAGAGGTCAGACATAAAAAATAGAAACTCCACGAAAGACAAAATCAAAATCAGCCGAGCATCAGCAGAACAAAGATGGCAAACAGTGTCGTTCCATTACTATTTAACTATATACTGTATACACTTGTGTGTGTGTGTATTAAATACATTAAGAGATAATTCTTAAATTAAATATAAAATATTTTTGTGTGTACATACACATACAGTATATTATATTTAAAAAATATATATAATATGTAATATACATATACACACAAATTTTATTATACATTTTGTATATACACATACACACACAAATATATATATATATATATACACACACAGACACTTTTATTATACATTTTGCATATATATATATATTTATATACATACAAAATGTATAATAAAAGTGTGTGTGTGTGTATATATATATACAGTATATACTGTATATATATATATATATACACACACAAATATATATATATATATATATTTGTGTGTGTGTGTGTGGTATATATATATATAATATATATATATATATATTTATGTTGTATATACAAAATTTGTGTGTATATATATATATATATATATATATATATAATATATTTTTATATATAATATACTGTGTATATGTACACACAAAAATATTTTATATTTAATTTAAGAATTATCTCTTAATATATTTAATACACACACACACACACACACACACACACACACACACACACACACACACACATATATATATATATGTATGTGTGTGTGTGTGTTTTTTTTAAATGTATATAATATATTATATTTATGAAATATATTTAAATATTTATTTGATATATTTTCTGTTTGTGTTTATATATCATTTTATATGTGTCCCTGAGTTGACTGTGTGTGTGTGTGTAGATGTATGGCCGCTACACTCAGGAACTGGGTGTGTATGCGAAAGAAGAGGCGGCCCGTCTCCGAGAGGACAGTCGTCAGCGCCGCTCCCTCTCCGACCGAAGCCCGTCGCTCAAACTCCTCGAGTACGAGAAGGGAAGATGCGTCAAGTGTCGAAGTAAGTGACATCACGGTTCACGGTTACACCGCACTGACTCTTTACACACACACACACCTCGCTGTCAGTCATTTCTGTTGCTATAGCAACTAACTCTCTAACCCTGTGGTGCCTTTCGCTTGTCCATTAAAAATGACCATTGACATTAATCTACTATATTTTAGTTTTTTTATTGAATATTTTGTATTTTTAAGGGGTTTTATGGCACTAAATTAAATTTTACACTTTATTTATAATCCATTTTTGAGCATAGACATGAATATTTAATTTCCTAAGTAAGCCTTGAGCGCTTTAGAGCGACAGACTTCAGTTTGATCTCTTCTCAGAGACAGATTATGGCTGAAGTGAAAAAAGTGTAAAAAAGTGAATTTGGAAAAAAAAAAGTTACGGAATTTTATATTTATTGTTATAATAAATGCGCAAAAATACTATTTTCAATTTTTACAAGAAATATATATGTTCAAAGACATATTTTACTCTAAAACTGGGATAAAATATATCTAAACAAGTTCCACATGCGAGTCTGATATCTCAGTAAATGAGTGTTCGGCTGCAGTACCAAAAGCTTCCACTAGAGGAAACCCGACTCAAATTCGATTCGTTTATAATGCGTCATTTCTGACCGCGAGGAGCACAAGTGTGACTACAGGGCCATTTAACCTTTTCGATTCATGTCCATGATTTGTGTGTGTGTTCACACAGCAAGTGCCAAAACCTTTACCAAGTTTCGTACAATTTCAATAAAGTAAAAAATTCTACAAAAATACATTTTATGGTTAAAAATGACCACAACAAACGAGGGATAAACGTTAGGGTTAAGTTATTTATGGTTTCATAAATAGATTTAAAAATGTTACGATCTTGTAAACATTACTGTTTTTACAATAAATATAATATTTAGATATTAAAAAAATAGACCACTGGACCCCATTGACTTAACTGAGTGTGACAGATGTTCCTCAATCAGTGTGTCTGCATCATGACATCACACTAGCCATAACCTTCATTCGTTTGCCTCAATAATTACGCTTGGCTTATTGTGATTTATGCAAATGAGTGAAGACGTTTCAGTTTAATATGAGTTTAATATGACTGAGCAGACTGAACTCTTGGGTTGAAGCGCATTGCATGTCTGTCTTTATTGATCAGTGAAAGTGTTTACATCATGATTTGAATACGGCGCCCTCTACAGGACATTCACACCTTTGCACTTTATCAGCTCGAGCTTGACTCGTTTAAAAGCTCATCTTTCTTGCTTTTAATTATGCCTTTACCAAAAATGAAGTAGTTAATACTTTTGAGCTGTTATTTAATTTGATATATTGTATGGAGGCCCTAAAGGGACATGGTGGCGGGGGAAACAAATATGAGATGGAGGAAAAATGACAAGTCAGTGCTTTTGCATTATTTAGGGATTAAAAGTAATGTTGCAAAAGATCATATGAAAGTTTGAAGCATTCAGTGTGTCGTAATGTCGGTGTGTGTCCTGATGGGGGCGCCATCGCTCCACTGAGGGGACATGACACACACACACTGAGCTTTGATCAGAGTGTGTAACATATATAGAGGGTCAGAGGTCACCGGTCAGGTTCACTCTCTCTGACGGAGGAGATTCACTCTCTGTGCAATTCTGAGTCAAATCCAATAATGAGATCATGCATTAAATATTGAGAGGGAGACGAACACACACACACACACACACACACACCCACTCACTCACTCACTCACACACATATATATATATATATATATATATGTGTGTGTGTGTGTAAATATATGTAAATATATATATATATATATATATATATGTAAATACACATATTACACACACACACTCTCTCTCTTACACACACACACTTGTCCTGTAACAGATGTGATGTCAGCAGGATATCAGTGTGAGTCACGGGTCACCATGGTTACAGGTTGCCTCTTCTCAGGTGGATGGATGACCGGTTTGTTGTTGTTATGGCAACAGTGAAACTTAGATCACTTTCTGTGACATCATCATTACTACCTGCTCCAAACGTCACCATGACAACCTCAGAGAGTGCAGCTGATCAGCTCTTCCTCTCTGCTGATCAATCTCACTGTTAAACATCCTGTGAGACATTTAGAGTGAGTGTGTGTGTCTGTGTGTAGCAATAGACACTGTCTAATGTCCACAGGAGATGAAAGACATGTTAAAATGTATTCATATTTCATCTTATATATGTATATAGATGTCAAACATCAAATGAACGATATCTAGACGAATGTCTCTGTGAGAATAGAGTGACTCTGTTTAAGGTGAGTGAGTTTGAGGAGACGACATGTTTGTTTTTTTCATCACGCTGTACTTTCTGTAGATCTGCAAATAGATCCTGGCACGAGTTTGTGTTTGCTAATAACAAGCTGATCGGTTCTCTAATCTCTAAGATGTGTGTTTTGCCATCTCTCTCTCTCTCTTGCTCGCTTGCTCGTACTTCATGGCTCATTTTCTCTGGTTTCTACACACACACACACTCTTTTCCTCAAACTGTCTGTGGTTTGTCCTCAGGGTTTCAGTATGCCCTGGAATCATCACCTCCGGACTTTTTTTCTGGTAAAAACAAAACAAAAACAAAAAACACTTTAAATGCATCAGATTAAACACAAAAAAATGCATGTGTTGTTTATTAACTCGTGACTTCTAACATTCTAACATATGAACATATAAAACCCAGCTTTTTAGAAAAGCCTTTTATGGCTAACAGTGTTTTTATATCTTTTTTAATGTTTCTGTTTTTATGTTGTGGCACTTTGAGGTCATTAAATTGATGTAAAGTGCGTTACAAATAAAATTTATTATTATTATTATGAACTTAATACAAACTAAATTTTCATCAATAAAACAACGTCACATCTCTCTTTGACCATTGATGAACTGATATTTTCATGTGCTAGTACTTCAATGTGTTCATTTTGTAAACATAACTTGACAGTACTTTTGATGTTTTGTTCTACAATGTAAATTACACACACCTATAGTGAAAACGTGAATTTTTTACTTCAATAACATACATTAATAAGTGGATAGGCAGCTTCGGGTGTGTGTGTGTGTGTGTGTGTGTTCAGTGTTAAAATGTCAAAGTATCATCAGGTTATGTTCACAACATTTGACATTATTAAACCCCTTTATAAAATTTCCTATAGGGAAATCAGTTACACTCTGATGAGAGTTTATATATATATATATATATATATATAATTAAAGATTATATATATATATATATATATATATATATATATATTAAAGATATATTAAAGATATATATATTAAAGATATATATTATCTCTTATATATATATATATATATATATATATATAAGAGATAATATATATCTTTATTATATATATATATATATATATATATGAAGAGTTCAGATGCAAAAGCCTCTAAATGCCATTTGAAATTTTCTTCTTTAATGATGATTTTTATCAAATTTGTATATTTAAGTTCAGTAATTTCACTTAAATTACAATTAATAGGTAATTATCATTGCCATTTAAGTGAAATTACTGAACTTAAATATACAAATTTGATAAAAATCATCATTAAAGAAGAAAATTTCAAATGGCATTTAGAGGCTTTTGCATCTGAACTCTTCATATATATATATATATATATATATATATTATTATATTTAATATATATTCCTTCCATTGGCCTGCATTAAAGGACAGGGACTGTATTAGGCCTTGTCTCTTTCAATTTGATTAACATATTTGAAGTTCACTGACAATATAGTTTTATATAATTAGTTTAATAATTAGATTCATAAAAAAATAAAAAGACCTTTACCTATACATGTATACGTGTGAAACTTAAATATAGTGCAAAAGTTCATTTATTTCAGTAATTCAACATAAAATGTGAAACTAATATATTATATAGACTCATTACATGCAAAGTGAGATATTACAAGCCTTTATTTGTTATAATGTTGATGATTATGGCTTACAGCTTATGAAAACACCAGATTCAACATTTTTGTGTATAGAATATTGTGAAAAGGTTTTCATAAGATGTAAGCCATAATTTTTTTATTTAATAGGGACAATGCATGTTAATGCATTATATTGAATAATTGAATAATAATCAATTGAAATTGAGGAAAATCTGTCCACAGGCTTTCATAGACAACATAGAAGGCCAGATTTCGTAGGTTTCGTTAGCTGTTCACACACTGGCAAAACAAAAAGCAATTTATACATGAAAAATCATACATATAACCTCTTTAATAGGAGGGGGAGTAATAATACTTTAAAAAATTGTCTCGATATTTTTGCATATATGATTAGGTGATGTAATGCAATATACAAAACACGTGCTCTGAAGGTAATTTCAGTTTTGTGAACAGAGAGCGAGGGGTTAAATGAAGACGAACGAGAGAAATGCGAGCTAATGATTTTGTTTTGATTGAGTGGTGTTATAAAGCAGAAGCCAGCAGTGACACACACACACACACACACACACACACACACACACACACACACACTCCTACATAAAGCCTTCACCCTCATTACATCTGCATAAACAAGACATTTAGGAGCTCCGCTTCTCAAACAGGCCTCAGTGTGTGTGTGTTCATCTCACACAGATAAAAAGTTGGTGTCTGCATTTCAAAGTGAATCGAGACGTCTGGAGACATGATTATAAGAGCATTATGTGTGTTTGAGACGCGTCCACGTCCACAAACATGTTCACACACACACTGCTTCTCGCTCCATCATTCGGTGAGTCATCATTGGCTCTTATCGAGGTTGCCGTGGATACTAACAGCATCCGTGTGTTTAGCTATAAATGCGGAGGGTGACAGAGATGCTTTCCCAGACCTGTTGTTTATGAGAAGAATAAAGAAATAATGTTTTCAAAATGACTGTTATTGAGTTTAATGGACCAGTTGCACTCAAGAACGTACACACTTGATTTTATTATTTCACTGCAAAATGTAATTATATTATTCTCAGCTCTTCAGAATATATAATATTAATTGTGAATAAATATGTATAAAATATATACATGCACATTTTTCTTAAATATATAAGAAAATATATAAGAAAAAAAAGAAAAAGAAAATATTTAAGAAAAATGTGTTCTTAATATATCAAATATTTATATTTATATATAATATTAATTGTGAATAAATATATTAAAATATATACATGCACATTTTTCTTAAATATATAAGAAATATATAAGAAAAAAAGAAAATATTTAAGAAAAATGTGTTCTTAATATATCAAATATTTATATTTATATATAATATCAATTGTGAATAAATATATTTAAAATATATACATGCACATTTTACTTAAATATATAAGAAAAAAAAGAAAATATTTAAGAAAAATGTGTTCTTAATATATCAAATATTTATATTTATATATAATATTAATTGTGAATAAATATATATAAAATATATACATGCACATTTTTCTTAAATATATAAGAAAATATATAAGAAAAAAAGAAAAAGAAATATTTAAGAAAAATGTGTTCTTAATATATCAAATATTTATATTTATATATAATATTAATTGTGAATAAATATATATAAAATATATGCATGCACATATTTCTTAAATATATAAGAAAATATATAAGAAAAAAAGAAAAAGAAAATATTTAAGAAAAATTTGTTCTTAATATATCAAATATTTATATTTATATATAATATTATTTGTGAATAAATATATATATAAAATATATACATGCACATATTTCTTAAATATATACATGCATGTGTGGGTATTTATATATACAAATTAATAATACACACTACACACACATATATTATGTAAACACAAACTTTTATTTTTGATGCGATCGTTGGCCATCCCTTATATATATATATATATATATATATATATATATCAAAGGCTTGATTGTTTATATCGTCGCAAAATTGCACAGCTCTTTATTTAAAGTCTCCCTATAGTCTCATTAAACCAAAATGACATCATTTTAAAAGTTTTTTCCTTGAAAAAAATTGTTCATGCCTTAAAATGTCTTGAATGTAACTCGACACCCTTGCCTAATTAAGAATGCGTGGTTCTATGAATATGCAAATAAGCCCCGCCTCCACTCACTCACTCAGCTCAGAGATCCACTGGTTGACGATGACACATTGATCTGATTGGTACATTCATACATGTGACGTCACAAACACCAGCGATTTCAAACCGTGTTTTTGAGACTGTCGACTTATGAATTTACACATGGCTTATTAAAAACACTACATAGACACATAAACAACATTAAAAGCTGGATTTACTGCATATGGCATACATACATTACACTCATATTAAGCGATATATACATGGGTGCAAGTTAATTTAATGAGATTCATATTGAGAATAATGTGGTTTTCACAATTCTTTAGTTTGGCGAAATGCTCTTATAATAACTGCAACTGTATAATGTGTGTGTTTGAGTACATTACAAGTATCGACGTATTATCCTGAAATATAATAAAGTTGTAGCTCAAAATCATGGCAGATCTAGTCCAGAATATGAACTTACACTCCTGACCTACTCAAACCAGTCATCTAACAATGCATTAACACTGTGTGCTTGTTTGAGTCATTGTTTTGATTAGATGTTTTACAGGTGAAAAGACCATTGTGTGTAGTTTAGTGTAAACACTGATGGAAGGATAACATTTAAGCTCCTGTTTGTGTTTCGGTCGATCGGATCACAAGTAGACCAGGCAGCTCTAGTCAGACAAGGTTTAAACCATAGATGTACATAATAAAGTCTAGATGTCTCGTCCGCACTGCTGGCCAATGGAGGTCAACGTCCGCACTGGCGGCCATCTTGCCACAGTCAGCTCGCTCACTCGTGACATTGTGTTTTAATGGTGCATGTTTTTTTTAAATAACCATAACTTGCTCAATTTTCTACCGATTTTCTAACTGTTTGGTTTGTTATAAACATCAGAGAATGTAGTTATGACACTGCACAAGTGTATCAATAAATAATCATCCAGAATTATAGCCACGTTAATAACGTTTGTAAAAAAAAAATCCGCCAAGATTTCAACGAGATAAGAGTATTTGTGTTGGTGCTAATGACTCATCTTACATCAGAAACCACAGAGCCGCCAGAAAGCTTGCCTGTGACAAGATGGCCGCCGGTGATGACGATAGAGACTCCGCCGTAACACATCTAGCCTTTATAATGGATATCTATGGTTTAAACTGTCGGCTGAAGACGCAAGTTTGGTTTGAAGAGGAATAATGGACCATTTACAATTTTCTCTCATCACTTCTGATGAACATTAACCCGCCATAGACCCTCCCCTTGGAGACATCAGGACAAAAGAGACCGATTAAAACATTATGTGTCTCTCTCGTCTACTTGTGATCCGATCGACCAAACGCATCTTAATATCAGCTGTAAACAGAGCCTTATTTACCATAATGAAAGGCCATCCAGGGAAAGTTGTTTCTCTTAGTTGAACAATATTAATAATACAAATAAAAAAGAAATACTAGTGGGAGAAAAGTGTAATCATACCATTTTTTTCATTGTGCACATTTTTGTTTGACTTTAGCTCATTTCTTTTTTTTTTGGGAGGTGTTCATGTTTCCAGCTAAAGTTGGGAATTTAACTTATGCGCAAAATTGAAATATGACATAAAACATTTGCGAATTAAGCAGAGTTTCCATCCCAGGTGTTCAAGAGAACAAAATCATCACTTCCTTGGAAATTAGCGCAAAATATCAGAAATAAAAACTAGGGCTGTCAAACGATTAATCGTGATTAATCGCATCCAAAATAAAAGTTTGTGTTTACAAGATATATGTGTATAGTTATTTTATATATATAAATACACACACATGCTTGTATATATTTAAGAAAAAATATTATTTATATACAACATATTTATATATAATATACATATAAATCTATATACAGTATACGCATGAAAATATTTCTTAAATATACATGCATGTGTGTGTATTTATATATATATAAATATATATAAAATAATTATACACAGTGCACCCACATATATGATGTAAACACAAACTTTTATTTTGGATGATGCGATTAATCGCGATTAATCGTAAACACAAACTTTTATTTTGGCTGATGCGATTAATCGCGATTAATCGTAAACAACCTTTTATTTTGGATGCGATTAATCGCGATTAATCGTAAACACAAACTTTTATTTTGGATGCGATTAATCGCGATTAATCGTTTGACAGCCCTAATAAAAACGTAAGCTGCTGCAATCGGGGAAGTTTTTCTTGAGTTTCTCAGAGCGTCCGACGAAACACACTCGTGTGAGACGCCAAATCATTCCGATCACACACTTCAGAAACACCAAACCAACATGTGAGATGCTGCGATGCCATTGGTCCGCTGGTTACTCCAGTTATCCAATCACATCCTCTGTTGGGGCAAAGTCACATGTGTCTCTTGTTGCGCATTGGATTTATTTGGTAAATGTTTTTCCATAGTAGTTTATGCGCAAGCCGTCTTATCGGATAATAAAGTATCCGCCTCAATTGAGAATTTATGCACATCTTGGCTTTTCCATCCATCGTTTTTTAGGCAATATGCTAAATATTTGGATCATTTTTTTTAGGCAATATCCCAAAATTCGCATAATCATACAGTAGGTGGATTGAACTGTTGACATCTTGCTCTGCTTTGGGAATTGTGGGTAGTGCAGTTAGTTCTTGTTTTTGGAGTTTTCCAGGTGTGCATTGATGCATTGTGGGTAATGTAGTCTTTCCTGTGGAGTCTGTGCAGTGCACTGTCAGCGGTTCTTCATGTTACGGGTCGGCGAGGACTGGATCTTCCTCATCTTGCTGGGACTCGTCATGGCGCTGGTCAGCTTTGTTATGGATTTCTGCATCGCCCTCTTATTACAAGGTGAGTGTGTGAGTGTGTGTGTGAAGATGTCAGGAATTGACACATAATATCTGTGTTTGTTTTGTTCAGTTGCTATGTCATTTTTTCAGTGAACACTGGCCCACTAATAAAGGACAGTCTGAACATTAACCACAGCAATTCTGAAGTCTCTAACTCAACCGCTCTAGCGCCACCAACTGGCCAAAGTTGCAGTCATGTTTATGTTCAAGAAACACTTGAAGATACCCTCACAGTTTCGACACAGTGCCACCTATTGGTCAGGAGATATGAAAAATGGCTATTTTTATATAACTTCTGAACATTTTGACTCATGTGTCTTTAAATTTGATGCGGCAACCATACCCAATATTCCCATGTCGGCCATTTTGGGCGTCTTTAATATTTGTCATGAAATGCTGTATTTTACGAATGCATTGGCGTACTGCATTCAACACAATGACCTGAAGGTACTCAAAAATTTGAGGCAGTGTGGTCAAGAATTATAATGAAATTTTAATTGTTTTTGATTTGTTTAGCCTGTTGTCATCAATAACAATTATGTCATAATTGGACAAACTTCCTATCTGCTATTTTGCTTTATTTGAATTCCTACTTTTTCAAACCCGATTTCCACCAGATTCGATTCAATTTGACTCTGAATCTGGCCATTCTGGCAAAAAGTTATGGAACTTAAAAAAATTTTTTTCAACGAATTTGATGGCATGATGCCAAACTGCATCTGAGGCCATATCTCGGCAAGGCTTTGGCATATTGACGGCAAAATTGGTGCGTGTAATTGTCACCCAACACTGACCACACCAAACGAATTTGGTGTTAGCGCCACCTATTGGTCAAAAGTAATAAGGAATTGTGTTGCATTGAAAGTGATTGTGTTTATGCTTAAACTCATCTCCAAATGCCTTTTACTTTCACAGTCGGTTTGATGCTCACCGCTGATGTTTGCTCATCATAATCGCTGTCTTGTTTTAAGCACAAACTCACTTCATTTTAATGACTTTTTTCAGAAAACAAAAATGCATGTCTTACGTCATTTTGCTTCTCAAGTAAATGAACCTTGATATTAGAATTGTTGGATATTTTTAATGGAAAACAACACGACAAGAAGTTTAGATTTTACTTAGTGTAGTTACTTCGTCATTTATCTAATTGAAAGATTATAGTAAATACACAAATACCCTGCAAGTGTCCACTTGTGTGTTCTGCTTTCTACAGCTCAGAAGTGGATGTATGGTGGTTTGGACAGTAACGTCATCCTGCAGTATTTGGCTTGGGTCACTTATCCTGTGGTTCTCATCAGTTTCTCTGCAGGCTTCACACACATAGTAGCGCCTCAGGCCGCCGGTGAGACACACTTACTGTACATTCACACACTCATAAGAGCTTTCTGTTCTTCTTTTTCGTCATAATTCAGCGTTTATCTCTCAATCAGGGTCTGGTATTCCTGAAATGAAGACGATCCTCAGAGGAGTTGTGCTGAAGGAGTATCTCACGTTGAAAACGTTCGTGGCCAAAGTGGTCGGACTGACCTGCGCACTGGGCAGTGGTTTGCCTCTGGGAAAGGAGGTGAACATACACAGATTCAGAGATTGTGTTTTAAGTGTGAGATCTAATTTACCTGCCCTAAGTGTGGTTGTAGCATCTTTAAAGGGTTAGTTCACCCAAAAAATGAAAATTACGGTCGTCCCAAGCCCGTCAGACCTCCGTTCATCTCCAGAACACAGTTTAAGATATTTTAGATTCAGTCCGAGAGCTTTCTGTCCCTCCATTGGAAATGTGTGTCCGGTATACTGTCCTTGTCCAGAAAGGAAATAAAGACATCATCAAAGTAGTCCATGTGACATCAGTGGGTTAGTTACAATGTTTTGAAGCATCGAAAATACATTTTAGTCCAAAAATAACAAAAACTACGACTTTATTCACCATTTTGTTGTCTTTCGGTTCTGTTGTTTTTGGGTGAACTATCCCTCAGGTGCTCTTCGTTTCGAGTCACACTTGTTATCCTCCCGGTCAAAAGTGACCAGACACCTAAAAATTAAATTTCCTCCATCCCAGTAAAACCAATGCAATTTATTTTTGTTCTATAATATTTATTCTTTGTAATTTTGTATTTTGAGACAATTTGATTGAATTTATTAATATTTATTTATTATATATATATATATTTTTAAATTAATGCAGTATTTTAGTTTAATATAGAGTCTAGGCCTTCAGTAAAAAAATATTTTTTGAAGAAAATTAGCACCATCTGGTTACAGTATAGATAAAAAGCGTAGAATCATGGTGTAACCACTAGATGGCATGTACAGCTCTCTATGGAGAAGCCATTTTTTTGGTGGATTTGAATATATATTTGAAGCAATCTCAAAAACTATTTTTTATTAAAAAATAAAAAATAGTGAATTTTTGTGTTTTTGTCAATTTCCCATTCATTTCCTATGGGGGTCATTTTTGACCAAAGACCACAAGTGTGACTATTTTTTTAAGACCACTTAAGCATGCTCGGATCATGACCTCAATTTTTTTGTGTGTTCACATACATAATGCCACAAAAGTCACCAAGTTTCGTAACATTCCGATGAAGCTGTGATTTTTAAAAATTCAAAACATTCTTTTTGTAATCAAAATTTATTGGTGTGTATGTGTATAACAGTGTTTTTGTATGTGTGTGTGTGTGTGTGTTGGTGGGTGTGTCTGTTTTGCACTCTAGATGTTGTAGAGTGTCACCCCTTTCCTGCGGTGTACTTTTTTTTTTTTAGAATTGTGGCCGATTTGTAGATTGCACGTACAATAATTCAGAGAATTTTTTTTTGTCAATTTCCCATTCATTTCTTATGGGTCGGTCATTTTTGACCGAAGACAACAAGTGAGACTATTTCTTTTTACGACCACTCAGCATGCTCGGATCATGACCTCAATTTTTTTTTGTATTCACATACATAATGCCATAAAAGTCACCAAGTTTCATAACATCCCGATGAAGCTGTGATTTTTAGAAATTCAAAACGAAAATGACCGAAGAGCACCTGAGGGTTAAAGGGTTCCTACTTTGTTTCAGATTCATCACAAGCCTAATGTGTGTGTGTGTGTGTTTTCTATCCTGTAGGGTCCGTTTGTGCACATTGCCAGTTTGTGTGCTGCTCTTCTCTGCAAATTCATGTCTTTCTTTGGTGGAATTTATGAGGTAAGTTTCATAGCCTCCAATTTTAGTCAAACTCCTCTAATAGCACTAAATGCAGTACACATAAACGGCTGAAGATCTTGGGTCGTATTTTGTACCAAAGTGACGTAATGGACCCGTCTTTAAAAAAATTATCGTTATAATGATTCGGTACAATGTACTTATTGAGCTGATGTTGTATTGCAGAATACTTGTGCTGCTATTGAGGTGGATTATGGGTAAGCAGGGCCTAAAAATAACTTTTTCCCCACACCTGCCAGTGGATGATGACTTAAGAAAATTTGCCAGCAAGCCATAAATATTTTTTAAGTTATGACACCAACATTTTAGCTATCAATCACAATTCGGAATTGTCTACTAAAATAAAATACATTTAAAATATTATTAACGACGAGTAACAGTAGTTTTCAGGTAGAGGTATTGACTAAAGTAATCAAATGTAAAAGTCTTCACTGTATAAATTAAACTTCAATAATAAAAGTTGCAAAAGTTAAGAGCAGTGAGTGATTTTCTTTGTGCTTTGTTGCTTTATTAACATTAAAAGCAGCTATGTTTACGAGGACGCTCGCCGAGACGGGTATTTTTGGCATATTTTCTGTGAATTTGTCTGTTCAAGTGCAAGAAAAAATGAAAGAGAGCTCAATTCAGTATTTGTGCTCTGTCTGTTTCAATATTTCTTCTTTTTTTCTGTGTGTGTGAGAGTGTTTCATGGAAATCAATCTAAAATATATGTATTTCTGCGTTTCTCTCGATGAAGTTTTCCTTTTGTGAGGATAAAACTTACCGCGATATCATCTCTGAATAGATTTACCAAATACAGGTGTGTGTCTATGTGTGTGTATCTGTTTGTAGATTGTGTGTGTTCTATAAATTGTGACTTTTATTGTGTTGGATTGTGCTGGTGTGTATGTACTTCTGTTTTTGGGTTGAACAAAAGAGGTCAAATAGTGTGTTGTCATATATTAAATGTTCTGTTGTGTGTGTGTGTTGAACAGAACGAGTCGAGAAACATCGAGATGCTTGCGGCTGCCTGTGCTGTCGGGGTCGGCTGCTGCTTCGCTGCTCCTATTGGAGGTGAAACTGGGGGAATCTGGGATAAAACATCCCCAAAGAGAGACTGCACAAGAACAAAAACTTGTGTTAATGTACCCACCATGTTTATGCAGAATTTAAGAAATTGTTAATTGCCTTATTTTCAATTTTTCTCTAAACTAAGTGCAATTCAGTCAAAACATTAAACAGCCATTAGAATAATTTAAAGGGGACATTACAGATTATTTTTTATTATTTCAATATTTTCCTTGAGATTTGTTGTTTGCACAACAAAATTAATAATAAAAAATAAATACGAGGTCCTTTGGCTCAGTTTTTAAGACAAATGTTATATGAAATTAAAGTATTAAAAAAATTTAATTGCATTATTACGGAGGCGTATTGCATTCACTTGGAGAAAAAAAATCTACTCTGTTTTTCTGAATTAACGAGTGAATTTTTCATGAGAAAAAAAATTTTTTGCTCTGTTTTTCTGAATTAACGAGTTAATTTTTCATGAGAAAATTTTTTTGCTCTGTTTTTCTGAATTAATGAGTTAATTTTTCATGAGAAAAAAAGTTTTTGCTCTGTTTTTCTGAATTAATGAGTTAATTTTTCATGAGAAAAAAAAAATTTCTCTCTTTTTCTGAATTAATGAGTTAATTTTTCGTGAGAAAAAAAATTTTGCTCTGTTTTTTCTGAATTAACGAGTTAATTCAGAAAAACTGAGCAAAAAAAAAAAATTCCATGAAAAATTAACTCGTTAATTCAGAAAAACAGAGCAAAAAAAATCCATGAAAAATTAACTCATTAATTCAGAAAAACAGAGCAAAATATTATTTTCTCATGAAAAATTAACTCATTAATTCAGAAAAACAGCAAAAACATTTTTTTTCTCATGAAAAATTAACTCGTTAATTCAGAAAAACAGAGCAAAAACTTTTTTTCTCATGAAAAATTAACTCGTTAATTCAGAAAAACAGAGCAAAAAAAATCCATGAAAAATTAACTCATTAATTCAGAAAAACAGCAAAAACATTTTTTTTCTCATGAAAAATTAACTCGTTAATTCAGAAAAACAGAGCAAAAAAAATCCATGAAAAATTAAAATTAACTCATTAATTCAGAAAAACAGCAAAAACATTTTTTTTTCTCATGAAAAATTAACTCGTTAATTCAGAAAAACAGAGCAAAAACTTTTTTTCTCATGAAAAATTAACTCGTTAATTCAGAAAAACAGAGTAGATTTTTTTTTCTTCAAGTGAATGCAATACACCTCCGTACATTTTAACTCAAATTCAAATTAGAGTTCAGAATCAATTCAGATTTATGAGCTAAAATGGAGTTGATTCAGTTATGATATGAATGGCACAAATTAAAAACGTTCAAACAAAGACAAAATAATGTAATAATTGCGTATTAATTGTACATATTAAGTTGGGGAGAATAGGGACACAATGTTATTTTTGGGTATTTACTGTTAATTTGAAGGGAAAAAAGTAGAAAAAAGACATTAACTCGTATGTGTGTGTGTGTGTGTGTGTGTGTGTGTGTGTGTATTTCAGGTGTATTATTCAGCATTGAGGTCACCTCCACGTTTTTCGCCGTCCGAAACTACTGGCGTGGATTCTTTGCTGCTACGTTTAGTGCCTTTATCTTCAGAGTTCTGGCAGTGTGGAACAGAGATGAAGGTGTGTGTGTGTGTGTGTTTTAAAATGCCCCTGTTATGCTATTTTAAACATTTCTAGTTTTGTACTTGTACAATGTTTACATGCATCAAACGTCAAAAAACACTTTAATTTTCTCATAATATCCACTACAGAAAAGCTCTTTTATCTCAGTGTCTGAAACGCTTCGTTTGCAGATTCAGTCTCTCTAAACCCCGCCTCTCTGAGAGCTGCTCTGCTGTGATTGGTCAGAAAGCAAATGCTCATGATCATATCTGAATCTCAGCTCTTGAACAACACGAACCAAACTCTTCCAGTCTCAGATACACTACAGTGATGGGGGCGGGGCTTAGAGACGCTGTTCAGCCAATCAACACCACAGGCTGGGCTTTATGCTAATTAGTTACACATATACGCAGGTTCAGCTGGAAAAAAGACTGGAATTACAGTTCAGAATCGATAGAAAACTCTTATTTATCTGCACTTTGATCTTTGTAGATGTTTTACATTCACATATGGCTCTATTACACACTATTGTACATGAAAGGTCATGTCTCAAACAGCAGAATAGGGTATACTGTATATTACTGTATAATACTGTATATTTTGAGTATTAAAGGAATCCTCTCTCTCTCTCTCTCTCAGAGACGATCACGGCTCTCTTTAAAACCCGGTTCAGGCTGGACTTCCCCTTTGACCTCCAGGAGCTTCCAGCCTTTGCTGTGATCGGGTCAGTTCTGCCTCTTGTTTTGTTCTTCTTGTTTCTTTGCATTTGTTGCGTACCAACTCTTAACAATGCAAAAATCATGTTCTTAGTATATCTGCCCTTAAAAACAATGACAAATTACCAGGCAAACTAAATTAGCGAGGTAACTCAAATTCAATTGTCCTTGATCTTTTTACAAATAAGAGGACCTCACTTTTCATGATTTGTCATCGCAACATCTTTTCTTTTGTCAAATCCACTTAGATCATTTTATGTGGTTCAGATAACTTAATATTTTGAGTTTCTTTTGATAAATTCATTCTCCTTCATTGTATTAACTAATTTTTTAAATTTCAACTAACTTAAAGGTATAGCGGAGGATCTTTCCGAATTTTAGAGAAGACCCGCCCTCTCCAATTAAAAAAAAAAAAAAAAAAATGCACATGCACAAACACAACACTCCCGAGAGGGAACACCTACTATTACGCCTTGCACAATTATGTTGCAAATTGTAAACGAACTCAAAAATATTCATAAAAAAGACAACATGTCAAATGCCCTTCCGTGTTTTATTTACTTATTATACTGATCGATTGAGTGACCGAGGACTCAAGACATGATATGTGCAACCCTGTATCACACGAAATACGATCTGAGGAAACTATTTTGCAAATCGCAATTACGTTACATAGCAACATATAAGCAGTGCTATTACGTTGGTCCTTAATCTAATATGTCTCATTGTTAATACGTAGGTATTAATAAGTTATTTTTATACATAGTTGCGTATGGAGAAGTAGCTTGTTGCATTTGTGTAATAATAAACACACAAGGTTTTAGAATATGAACACATGAACACGCAAGATTTTAGAATATTTCAGCGTGATACCATTTACCATTTTGGTCAAAAGGCTACTTTAGACAAATTGAGATGTTTACCGTGTCTATGCGGTGCATGACTTGTGCCAGGGCTAGCATTGCTAAGTAGCTTGCATTAACTTTTACTAGTGATTTTAAATGGATTTCTCCAAATAGCATGACAAACTTTACCTGTGTAGTAGAATCTTCGCGACTGCGGCATCAGTGAGAAGCCCAACCTGTGCTTTTAGCGCACGCCAGCGTGTGATATTCACCCAAAATCACTCCGGTCTTGTTTCTATATTCTGCGGCCTTTCTCTTCTTATCATACACTTAGTATACTTTTTTTTCTCTTTCGACCCTCAGCCATTTTCAAAGGAATGGCTGAAACCGCAACTCCGACATAATACACCTGAAAGTGAAAACTACATAGGGATGAGCACGTACGACGGCCTTACGTAAACATATCACCAGAATGATTGACGCTTAGATCGACCAATAGTATAGACTACCCACCCGGAAAAAGAAAATCCTCCGCTATACCTTTAAATAAAAGTAACCTGGTTGCCTTAATTTCAAGTAAAACCAACAATATTTTTTTTTACATTAGTGTACTATAAGAATATCCGGCTAGATTCAGAACTCAAAACTTTCTTGTTAGTCCAAAAAAATTTTTTTTTTCTCAGAAAACGACTCATTTTGAATTTTGTCACATTATGACATCATAGTGCGACGAAAGACCGCCTCTACAAAATTGAGCGACGCCCACTTCTGCATCATTGCCTATTTAACTCCGCACATTGATTCACGCATGTCGTAGTAGTTACTGTAGGCACACCTCCATCATTGTGATCCTAACACTTAGAAAGTGTGATGAACTTCATTTTTAAAGAAGCTCCAATCAGATCATGTCACAGTTTATTTGTTTGTTCGCTTCGTTTTACTGCGGATTCATTTTTAAACAAGACTGAAAATAAAATATTTTGATTTGATTTTTTTTTATTTGATATCTTTATTTTGAACATGTAAATAAAAAATACAAATATGAATCAATGAAACAAGGAATATTGATAAAAAAACTAAAATGATGAACAAAGTAAAAATCCATACTTTCCAGTACTTGAAGAAAAACAAACAAAAAAAAAACTCTATTTACATGTGCAAAAAGGAGTAGGAAGAAGTAAAACTTATGTTATCTAATTAAAAAATATGTGTTTGGTTTCTTTCCTTAATCATTTGATTTGTCGTAGCATAGTATCACTGTTTATTATGATGTCTAGTATCGAACTTAAATGCTTTAATTTATGTAAATATGTCTGGTAACACTTTACAATAAGATTTCATTTGTTAACATTAGTTAACATCAACTAACAATAATTCTTCAAGTAAACAGTAATATCCTAAAGCGTGAAGAAATGTGTCCTGCTGATTGTTCATGCACATCTGCTTTAGACACTTTGTACCCAACAGATATTTCATGAAAGCACAATCTCCAAATGAACTGTATTATGAGTCATGAGTCTGTTTATGCCAACATGCATGACTCTCTCTCTCTCTCTCTCTCTCTCTCTCTCTCTCTCCGCAGAATTGCCAGCGGGTTTGGCGGTGCCTTATTTGTGTATCTGAACAGGCTAATTGTTCAGTTTATGCGAAAACAGAAAACTATTAACAAGTTCCTCATGAAGAAGTGAGTGTTCCCTGTGTTCCAACTTATTTATCTGTAATTGTTCTTACTGGTGTTATTTTCATGTTATAAAATATCTTAAAGGGCCCCTATTATGCTTTTTTGGATGTGACTTTGAGCCGTTTGTGAATATAATGCGAGTTTCAAAGATCAAATTGCAGTTTTCTCCTAAAAGAAAGAAGTGATTCTGAACTGTAATTCCAGTCTTTCTTCCTGCTGAAAATATGTAGGTGTGTAACTAATTAGCATAAAGCCAGCCTGTGGCGTTGATTGGCTGAACAGCGTCTCTAAGCCCCGCCCCCATCACTGTAGTGTATCTGAGACTGGAAGAGTTTGGTTTGTGTTGTTCAAGAGCTGAGATTCAGATATGATCATGACCAATCAGAGCAGAGCAGCTCTCAGAGAGGCGGGGTTTAGAGAGACTGAATCTGCAAACGAAGCGTTTCAGACTCTGAGAAAAAAGAGCTTTTTCTCTAGTGGATATTAAGAGAAAATTAAAGTGTTTTTTGACGTTGGATGCGTGTAAACGGCAACTAATTTCAGAACAGTGAAGGTTTATTAACAAATATAGGTCTAATATCACAAGTGTGTGTGTGTGTGTGTGTGTGTGTTGTGTGTTGTGTGCAGGCGTCTGTTGTATCCCGCGCTGGTCACGCTACTGATCTCAACACTCACTTTCCCACCGGGGTTTGGGCAGTTCATGGCCGGACAGGTACACACACACACACACACACACACTCTACACAATATGTGTTTGTTCCTCAGGGTGTTCAATCCATCCAGTTAATAATCTTAATGAGACAGTTGAGAGAAACAGGCGTTCATTAATCATTCTTAACAACACACACACTCGATAAAATACAGAATAAGGCATCAACTCTCGCTCTCTATCACACACACACTTTGAATACAGAATGTGGCAATATAAATATACAACACTTCACATAATCCATTTCTCAATCAGTTTTTATCGTGTTTTATTGTATAATGCCTGAATAATCTCTAAAAAGGAAGTGGAAGCACTTTTCATTTGTTAACATTGCATTAACTAACAATGAATACATTCTCACTGCATTTATTAACCTTTATTAATGCTGGTTAAAAATTGTTCATTTTAGTTCACAGTGTATTAATGTTAACAGATACAACTTTTCTTCTTAAAAAATGCTGAGATTAACAGTAATGAACATTAATAAGTGCTAATAGAAAAACATTAAACATTGTATTTTAGCTCCTTTGTATTAACTTACACACTGATGTTAAGTTTCGATATATTAACATATCTGTCGTCTTTTTAGTAAGTGTTTTATTTTCAAATGATTTAATTAATTATTAGTTTATAGAGAATTTTTTATTTGTATTTAATTTGATTTGTTTTAAGCATAAAACTAACTGTAATATTGTGAGGTTTATGCGTAAAATAAGAAGGTGAACACTGAAGCTTCTGTTAATAACAGGATTATTATATTTATATTTCTATATTTATAATAATTAATGTGATTTTCTCACACATATAGCTGACACAGAAGGACACCCTGGTTTCATTTTTTGACAATCGCACTTGGACAAAGCAAGGAATCACAGAAGACTTTAGTTACGACAGTCACTCGACCGCCTGGAAACATCCGCAGGCTAACGTCTTCGTGATCCTCGTCGTTTTCATTGTTATGAAGGTAAATAATATATATATTTTTTGATTCTTTGGTTTAAAGGCAGTGTTTTTCATAAACACTTATACTGGTTGAAACTCTATTCACGATCTAAAAGTTGTTTACGCTCGTTGTTGTTTTGAGACCTGAGGTGATTTAACTCTAAGCAGATACTTGAATAATACATGAGCTCATTAACATATGACCGCCCACATTTACATATCAACCGCTATTCAGTATTTAGCAGCTTCTTTTTAGCAGGATGATAGTGTGAAGTAGGTTAGCCAATCACAGCAGAGGTCCTTCTGTAGCTCCGCCCCTCGTTGTGTTCTGTTCTTTAATTTGAACAAATCCTCCCGGTCTCATGATAACGTTCGTTAACTCTACTTTGAGGCAATTCACTTTATTAGCTAATTACTCTTAGACAGCGATTCCATGGAAAAAGATTGTTATTCTGTCGGATGAGGTCTAAAGAAGGGTTGAGCGAAAAGGAGATTTCATTATCCTCAAAAAACCTCCCAGCTGTAGAAGTCACTGGCTGAGGAAAACAAGAGTGTGTGTGTGAAGACCTGCGTGAGTGTGTCACCCTGGCAACCTCATCAGAAACCCGGTCGAAACCTGTCACTGCACAGGAAGTGATGTCGTCAGCGTTGCCATGGGGACGAGTGCCCAGTGTGTCCTTGAGCTGAACAGGAACCTTTGACTTAACCTGCGCAGTTTAATCTAGAACTACTTGATGGACTACAGATTTGTCCCCAGGATCTGACAAAACCTCTCTTTGGAAGTATGATTTATAAGTAATGCATCACTTTTTTTATTATTAAGGGTTATCGCCCCCATGTCATCCAAGATGCCCATGTCTTTCTTTCTTCAGTCGGAAACAAATGAAGGTTTTTAATGAAAACATTCCAGGATTTTTCTCCATATAATGGACTTCAATGGGGACCAAACGGTTCAAGGTCCAAACGAGAGTTTCAGTACAGCTTCAAATGTCTTTAAATGACACCAGATGATGAATAAGGGTCTTATCAAGCGAAACGATCGCTCGTTTCAAAAATAAATAACAAAAGTTTAAGTTTTATAAGCTCAAATTCTTGCTCTGTTCTGTGATGCGCGTTCGTGACTCTCCTGTTCGAAATGAACGAATCTTTATTCGAGTCATGACTAGAAGGGTCCTTGATAAGACCCTTATTTATCATCTGAAATCGTTTAAAGCCCTTTGAACAGTTTGCACTGAAACTCTCATTTGGACCTTGAACCGTTTGGACCCCATTGAAGTCCATTATATGGAGAAAATCCTGGAATGTTTTCATCAAAAACCGACTGAAGAAAGAAAGACGTGGACATCTTGGATGACATGGGGGTGAGTAAATTATCAGCAAAAGTTTTTTTAAAAGTGAACTACTCCTTTAATTCAGCAAGGATGCATTAAAGTGATGAAAAGTGACAGTAAAGACATTTATAATGTTAATTTTTAATTAAATTCTGTTTTTTCTTAACTTTTTATTCATCAAAGAATCCTGGAAAAATAAAAATTTTCACAGTTTTCACAAAAATATTTAACTGTTTTCAACGCGGATAATAATCATAAATGTTTTTTTGAGCATCAAATCATCATATTAGAGTGATTTCTGAAGGGTGACACCAATAATGAATGACACTTTACTATATATTCACATAGAAAATAATTATTTTACACTTTTACTGTATTCTGATCAAATAAATGCAGTCTTGATGAGCAGAAGACTCCTGCACTTTGAAGCGACGTGTATTGCGTAAAGCGCCACACAAATAAATGTGAATTGAATTAAATTGAAAGAGACTTTTTTGGGAATGCCGGCAGGTGGAGAGAAATGCAGCAGATTTCTGCGAGTCTGTCCATTTTTCGGTGCCAAGAGAGAGCGAGTGTTTGTGAGGATGAAAAGAAGGAGAGAATATTACGCAATGATTTCTCGATCCACCCACAGCTCTCAAACACTCTCCAGCATAACTCACACAACACTTATATAACATTCTCACTGAATCCCACCTCAACCTCCTCCGGATCTGTTCTGTTCTCGCAGGAACCATCGATTGTGTGTGTGTTTGCTTTAGTTCGTGACTTTCTCTATTAATTAACTTCTGTTGTTCTGAATCAGCCAATTAGATTGCTTTTCTTAATTACTCACAGTTCATTTCAGGATTCACCTCACATTCAGTACCAAGTGACGTGTGTGTGTTTGTGTGTCTAATTAACAAATAAACTGAAAATAAACTGAAAAATTTGGAGCAAAAGTTCAGACTTGTTGGGCGTGTTTGTGTGTTGGCATTTTGCTTAATATAATTAAATGTATCCGTCTTAAAGAGTGTTATTAAAATTAAAGATGACTTTGGATTATCTTGTGTTGTTCACTAATGAGATCACGCACACAATACACATTTTATCATTTTATTCTGTTTTGTCAAACTTCTCATTCAAGGCAATAAGGACTTGTTCAATCTGGCCAATGCTTGTGCAAATGACAAACTTTCACGACGACACGTGTTTTCAATTTAAACATCTCAAGTGATTTTTAACCATTCAGATTCAATCGTAAGAAGCGTTTTCTTTCACATATCGAGTTCTTCTGCTTGAACCAAAAAATACACACAACAAAAGTATGTGAAAATGCGAGTTTACATCTCACAATTCTGACTTTATTTCTCAGAATTGCGTGATATAAGGTCAAAATTGCGAGATATAAAGTCCGAAGTGATTTATTTTAAAGTCGAAATTGCGTGTTATAAAGTCAGAGTTATGAGAAATAAACTATTCTAAGGGGAAAAAAGTTGAGAGAGAAAAGATGTCAGAATTTAGAGATATTAACTAGCAATTGTGTAATAAAGTCAGAATTGTGAGATAAAAAGTCTTAATTCTGTCTTTTTTTTATCACAATTGCAACTTTATATCTCAGAATTGTGACTTTATATCTCAGAATTGCGACTTTATATCTTGCAATTGCGACTTTATATCTCAGAATTGCGACTTTACATCTCGCAATTGCGACTTTATTTCTCAGAATTGCAACTTTATATCTTGCAATTGCAACTTTATATCTCAGAATTGTGACTTCATTTCTCAGAATTGCAACTTTATATCTTGCAATTGCAACTTTATATCTCAGAATTGCAACTTTATATCTCAGAATTGCGACTTTATATCTTGCAATTGCGACTTTATATCTCAGAATTGCGACTTTACATCTCGCAATTGCGACTTTATTTCTCAGAATTGCAACTTTATATCTTGCAATTGCAACTTTATATCTCAGAATTGTGACTTCATTTCTCAGAATTGCAACTTTATATCTTGCAATTGCGACTTTATATCTCAGAATTGTGACTTCATTTCTCAGAATTGCAACTTTAAATCTTGCAATTGCAACTTTATATCTCAGAATTGCGACTTTATTTCTCAGAATTGCGATCTTATATCTCAGAATTGTGACTATTTCTCAGAATTGCAACTTTATATCTCGCAATTGCGACTTTATTTCTCAGAATTGCGACTTTATTTCTCAGAATTGCGATCTTATATCTCAGAATTGTGACTTTATTTCTCAGAATTGCAACTTTATATCTCGCAATTGCAACTTTATTTCTCAGAATTGCGACTTTACATCTCGCAATTGTGACTATTTCTCAGAATTGTGAATTTATTTCTCAGAATTGCAACTTTATATCTCGCAATTGCGACTTTATTTCTCAGAATTGCGACTTCATATCTCAGAAATGTGACTTTATATCACAGAATTGCAAGTTTATATCTTGCTATTGGGACTTTATTTCTCAGAATTGCGACTTTACATCTCGCAATTGTGACTTAATCTCAGAATTGCGACTTCATATCTCGCAATTGCGACTTTATTTCTCAGAATTGCAACTTTATATCTCGCAATTGCAACTTTATTTCTCAGAATTGCGACTTCATATCTCAGAATTGCGACTTCATATCTCGCAGTTGTGCCTTTATTTCTCAGAATTGCAACTTTATATCTTGCAATTGGGACTTCATTTCTCAGAATTGCGACTTTACATCTCGAAATTTTGACTATTTCTCAAAATTGCAACTTCATATCTCGCAATTGTGACTTAATTTCTCAGAATTGCGACTTTATTTCTCAGAATTGCGACTTCATATCTCGCAGTTGTGACTTTATTTCTCAGAATTGCACATTTATATCTCGCGATTGTGACTTTATTTCTCAGAATTGCAACATCATATCTCGCAATTGCGACTTTATTTCTCAGAATAGCAACTTTTTATATCTCAGTATTGCGACTTTATTTCTCACAATTCTGACTTCATATCTTGCATTTTGTGAGATAAAAAGTCGCAATTATTTTTTTTATTTTTTTATTCAGTGGCGGAAACAAGCTTCCACAAATTTCTGTACCTGAATGCAGTTTACTGAAAAATTAAAGCACTGTTTATTTCATTTGTATCTTTGTTTGGTTGTAATTATTTTAGCTGTTGCTTGGAGTTTATTTATTTGTTGTAATATTTTTACTGAAGATCTTTAATAATGCTTGAACTTTACATTAGTTATGCTAGTAGTTTTTGCTGGAATCAGTCGATAATTGTGAAATTTCTGAAATTCTGTTGTGTTATTTATTGGAATACCATGTTACATGGGGCAAAACAACAACAAAAATGTATTTATTTACATTTTTGAGCCCTGTCTTTGCTTGTTTTTTTCTAATTTTCTAATTTATTATTATTCTTTAGTTTTAATATTTATTTTCTTGTAATGCACTGATCTTTGAGTCAATTATGGATGAAATTGTCAGAAAGTACTGGATGTGAAACACATTCATATATATTCACACATTTACATGACGTTTATTAAATTTTCTATTTTCGTCTGTTGAGGAAATCATAGTCCACGCATAAACTGTCAGACATGACAGGTTTTGCATCAGATAAGGAAGCGTTTATCTGTAATTTTGATGTTTTGTGACGCACACAGACGCATGTGTGAACATCACACCCCTCTGGATTGTCGTATTGTGTGTGGAGAGACAGGCGGCTAAAAGTTCAGAATGCAAATTCTCACTTTGAATCTATAAAATAGCTATTTTTCGTATCTTTTTGTTGTTGCTCTGGGCTGTTTTCAGTTTTAATTTCACACAGGTGTGTCGCTGCTATTGTTCTGTAATAACCAGCTATGTAATTTGTCACACTGGATGTTGGAAAAAAAAAAGCGTCTTGTTAATGGAAAAAAAAAATGAATTACTGTCATGCTACTGAAAAATGAATTCTACCAAGATAATAGCTTTACCACTTTTAGTTAGTTAATCCCTCAACACGGATGATATTATATTATTGGATTTTGGTAAAATATTACAACTAAAGTGTTTGCCTGTGTTTATATGAGTGTTTCTTTTGTTTCAGTTCTGGATGTCTGCTTTAGCTACAACTCTTCCTGTACCTTGTGGAGCCTTCATGCCCGTTTTTGTCATTGGTAAGTGTGTGTTTGGGTTTTTCCATAAAATATTGATTTTTAAAAGAGTAGTTCACTTTAAAAAAAAATAATTTTGCTGATAATTTACTCACCCCCATGTCATCCAAGATGTCCACGTCTTTCTTTCTTCAGTCGGTTTTTGATGAAAACATTCCAGGATTTTCTCCATATAATGGACTTCAATGGGGTCCAAATGGTTCAAGGTCCAAATGAGAGTTTCAGTGCAGCTTCAAATGTCTTTAAACGACACCAGACGATGAATAAGGGTCTTATCAAGCGAAACGATCGCTCATTTCAAAAATAAATAAATGATAAATGACAGTTGAACAAAATAACTCGAAAAAAGATTCATTCATTTTGATGAACCAGTTCGAACAGGAGAGTCACGAACGCGCATCACAGAACAGAGCAAGAATTTGAGCTTATAAAATTTAAACTTTTGTATTTATTTTTGAAATGAGCGATCGTTTCGCTTGATAAGACCCTTATTCATCGTCTGGTGTCGTTTAAAGCCCTTTGAAGCTGCACTGAAACTCTCATTTGGACCTTGATCCGTTTGGACCCCATTGAAGTCCATTATATGGAGAAAATCCTGGAATGTTTTCATCAAAAACCTTCATTTCTTTTCGAGAAACCTCATCACTCAGAAAATACTGGAAACTGATAGAAAAAAACATGTTTTAGGAATAAAACGTTAAATATATATTAGGCGAATAATATATTAACAAACCCCTCAGTAAAAACCTTCATAATTTAGATAGGAATAAAACTGTAACTGCTGCGTAAGTGGAGGAAAAAACTCACCGACTTTAAAGAGATGTTTTGTAATTGAAACCTGAAGTGGATCAAAAAAGTTAATAAAAGTAAGACACAAAATTCATGTATAACTTTGAAAGGTTTTGATCCACTTCAGATGTTGACTGCTGTAGATAAAGTGCAATAAGATAAACACTTAAATGTGCATTTGGTCTTTGATACGTTATGGAAACAAGATTGACAAGTGCATGAGAAATACTCGTGTGTGTTGCAGGTGCTGCATTTGGCCGTTTGGTGGGTGAAAGTATGGCCGCTTGGTTTCCAGAAGGAATTAATACGGATGGTATCATCTATCCCATAGTGCCCGGAGGATACGCTGTCGTGGGTGAGAAACAAACTCATGCTCATACATGTACACACACACACACACACGTTCATCACAGTTAATTGCCTCAGTGTTGCCATAGTGATTTTAAGAGGCATTGATTTAGTTTTGTTGTGTTGGGTTTAGTGGATTTTTTGTTTTCATTGTTAGTCTTTGATTGGTAGCCACTAGATTTAATTATGAAATAACAATAACCCCTCTTGAATAATTATTATTTTATTTAGAGTTTAACAGAGAAGGGTTTAGAGATTTTGACATTAAAAAATGCCGCTTAATATAATATTTTTGCTCAATAAATTGGTAACACTACAATAAGTTTTCATTTATTAACATGAACTAACAATGGCCAATACTTCTATTGCATATATTAATTTTAGTTAGCCCTCAATCGGGTCATGGGGTCTATACGACCCTAATCGACTTTTAATTAATAAAAAAAAAGGTTCATCTCAGGGGAATACGATTTTGTGACTTTTCATATATTATCTATCTATACACAAAAATAAAAGCTGGGCTTGATTCGGTTGTTTCCGAAAAATTACACTTCTGGTCTACGGGGTCCACATTGAAATGAATGGGAAATGTGAAAAAAAATTAAATATATTCTTCATGTGTCAAAAAAACTAAATAAATCTAGCATAAATCTGAAAATGTTTACATAGAAATGATAGCCTAGAACTAGAGAACTAAAATAATATTTCATATGCTAATGCTAAAGCTAATGGTGTAGTTGCGGAATTGTGTGGTATATGGATACAAAAGTACTTTATATCTCCAAAAACACAGCATTAATGAATAGATGAGAAGTAAACAAAAAAAATGATATATTATTTGTATGATTAAAAATGTATATTTTTTGTACAATTACTCAATCAATTGTTGGGGTCGTATAAACGCCGAAGCCCAGGCGTGTAAACAACGAAGACCATTTGAAGGTTAATGTTATTCTCAATTCAAAGGTTGTATTTGTTAACATAAGTTGTAAAATATATGCTGTAAAAATATACGTACGAATGAGTTTTTTTTTTTTTAAATGTATCCAATAAATTTTGGATAATTTTGACCTGTTATTTATTTATCTTTAAAGCACAATCTAAGTAGCTAAGTAGAAAATCCCCTTTAATGTTCTCGATTGTGCTGCATTAACTCACACAAATACATGTTTTGTATATTTACAGTAGGAAATTTACTAAATATCTTCATTGAACATGATCCTAATGATTTTTGGTATAAAAAAATGGATAATTTTGACCCATACAATGTGTTGTTGGCTATTGCCACAGATACACCCGTGAGACATGTGGCTGATCCAGAGTCACATATGTATTGTAATTGAAATCTACAGATGCAAATAGATAAAGTGCAATAAAATAAACACTTAAAAGTATTTGTTTTCTTTTACATTAACCTGAAAGACGCATTATTGAAGCAAAATAAACCATAATTGATTAGTGTATTAAAAAAAAATGGTTTTGTCTACAATGGCTTGCGTTTCAATCTCTCTCTCTGTTTAGGAGCGGCGGCGTTATCCGGAGCGGTCACACACACCGTTTCCACGGCCGTGATCGTGTTTGAGTTGACGGGTCAGATAAGTCACATTCTGCCCATCATGATCGCTGTGATCCTCGCCAACGCCGTCGCTCAGAGTCTTCAACCGTCCATCTACGACTCCATTATACGCATCAAGAAGCTGCCTTACCTGCCCGAGCTCGGCTGGGGTCACCACGAGTGAGTTCATACCGCTTTTACCGTCATTCCCGTTGATTATATTTTTACTACTTACAGTTTTAAAACATACAACAATTTCAAAATGTATCTTTAAGTCTGGCTGTGTCAGGGTTGTTATAGTTAAATTAAACTAAAACATTTTGGTTTCTTGAAACATAATAAAATATAAAACTTACTATAAAATATTTCTCATTTCGTTTTAACTTGTGCTAAACTAACTAAAACTAAATTATTAATAAAAACTATATAAACATTTAATAAGTATAACAAAACCATACAACAAAATGAATAAAACTTTTAAAACGGAAAATAACTAAATTTATTCTAAAATTACAACAACAACAAAAAACTATAATAGTATCCCAATGATGCTAAAAAACACATATTGTAAGGAAAGTTTCTTCAAATACAGTTCTTATTTTTATCACTGCAAAAAAATATTTTCTTAATTCATCTCGCAATTGTGAGCTAAAAACTCGCAATTATTTTATTTTTATTTTTTATAAATAATGTGTATAATTGCCATAGAAAACATGTAAATCACTTTAAAAATTAACACAAAAAATAGATAGATTAAAACAAATTTGTTAATGTAGTAATACTAATTACAACAATAATTAATTACTATATTATAATTAGTATAAAGACAGTACTAATTACTACAATAATTAGTATTGTCGTGTCTTGTTTTCCAGTACAAATATCGAACAATTTCAAAAATTACTTTTTTTTATTTTTCTTTCTTTTTTTTCTTTCTTTTTTTCTTTCAAAAATTACTAGAGAAGCGAAATGACTTAAGATAGTAAGTCTTGTTTTCTCATCAATATTAATCGAGTTTGTGTTTAAAATGAGAAAAAAATCTTGTATTTTCTGACCCCATTTTAAGCAAAAACTCACTTAATTTTGATACCTTTACTTGATCACCAAATGACTTTAGATATTAAGTCATGATTTCTAAAAAAATAAATAAAAAATAAATAAAAAAAATTATAAGAATGTTTAGATATTTGTACTGGGAAACAAGTGTAATCATTGTTTGCAGTGTAATCATAAATCCAAATCTGCGTTTCTTAAAAACTCACAGGAGCGTGTGCCGTAAATATTCATTCCCTATAATTTGCTGAACTATTGTAATGACGAAATAAATAAAATAAGTGGCAAATTGCTTTTTTTAATGGATTAAAAGATACACTTACTATTTTCTTGTTACTTTTAACTACATTAACAAATTAGTTTAAATCTATCTATTTTTTGCGTTAATTTTTAAAGAGATTTAAATCTTTTCTTTGCCATTTATACACATTTTTTATAAAAAAATAAATAAAAATAAAATAATTGTGAGTTTTTAGCTCACAATTGCGAGATATGAAGTCAGAATTGTGAGATGAAAAGTCGCAATCAGTGTTGGGTAAGTTACTCTAAAAAAGTAATTAATTACTAGTTACTAATTACCTCTTCAGCAGTGTAATTAGATTACTAATTACTCTCTTTAAAAAGTATTTAATTACTTTTAATTACTAATTACTTTCAAAATCCCAGCTGAATAATGCAAGGATAGACATGAATCTGTTTTAATTCTTTCAAATAAATACTATAAAATCGCATGAATTATCCTTAAACTGACCAAGGTGGAGAAGGTTACAAAAACATACTTTTTAGCATCAGACAATACATTTTGATGTTAAACCCACTATTGTTTTATGTCTGATCTCTGACATTACACACTTTTTTCAGGCATATTTTACAATAATTCAGTACGAGTGCGGTCGTAATATTTAGACACCTCATAAAATCAAACGAATCGCTGTGAGATCGGATTATCTACACAGTATTTACCTCAATTACATCAGAAGTAACTGTAATTAAATTACAGGTAAATGAAGAGTAATCCCTTACTTTACATTTTCAAGGGAAAAGTAATTGAATTACAGTAACTAATTACTTAGTAATTACTTACACCCAACACTGGTCGCAATAACCTTTTTTATTTTTCATCCTGTGGCGGAAACAAACAAGAGTGGCTCTCGCAGTCCTCAACACAGAGATGCTGTTTT